GTTGCCAGCCAGTTCACCCAGCACCATTTGTTAAATAGGGAATCTTTCCCCCAATAATGCTTTTGATAGGCTTATCTAAGATCAAATGATAATAACTGACTGGGTTCATCTCTTGGTTCTCTTTTCTGTTCCATATTTCTACCTCTCTTTTTGTGTCAGTACCAGGCTGTTTTGATCACTATAGATTTATAGTATAGCCTGAAGCTTGGTAATGTGATGTCTCCTGATTTGTTTTTATTTCTGGATTGAGTTTTTTTCTGATTCCATATAAAATGAAGTACTATTTTTTCCAAGTTATTTAAAGTATGACAATGGAGCTTTAATAGGGATTGCATTGATTTTACTCTTTTATTTCTGGTTAGGTTACCCAAAGTTCTATCTATTTTATTGACCTTTTCAAAAAACTGACTTTTTGATTCATTGATCTGTTGTATAATTTTTTTTTTGAATTTCACTTAATTCTGCTCTAACTTTAGTCATTTCTTTTCTTTTGCTGTGTTTGGGATTGAAATGTTCTTTTCTAGTCACTTTAGACATCCCATTAAGTTCTTGACTTCCTCTCTTTCTGTTCTTTTGAGGAAGGCTTGCAACACTATAAATTTCTCTCTTAGGACTGCCTTTGCAGTATCCCAGTATCCCACGAGTTCTGGCAATTCGTGTCTTCATTATCATTTTGTTCCAGAAATCTTGTAATTTCCTTCTTGATCATTTAGTTTCCATGATTTTGTATAAGTATGCTGATTTCTCTTGTTACTGAGTTCAACTTTTATTCCATGATGGTCTGAGAAAATACAATGAATAATTTCTATTTTTTTAAAATTTGCTGAGGTTAGACTTGTGACCTAATATGTGATCAATTTTGTAGGATGATCCATAAGCTGATAAGAAGCCTGTGTATTTAGGTTTATTAGGATGACATGTTCTGTAGATGTCTGTTCAGTCCATTCATTCTAGGATCAAGTTTAAGTCCATTATTTATTTGTTTAGTTTCTTTTTGGAGGATTTATCCAGAACTGCCAAAGAGGTGTTAAAATCTCCAACTATTATAGTACAGCAAGATATCAAATTGTTCATATCTGTTAGGGCTTGCTTTATGAATTGAGGAGTGTTCTGGTAGGGTGCAATAAATGCTTCCTAGGATAAATGTTAAAACAATAGGATAAATGTTAAATATTGAAATCTCTTCATATTGAGTGTTTTCCTTGGCAAATAAGTAGTGTCTATCCTTATCTTTCCTTATCTTTGTTGGTTTAAAACCTAATGTATCTGCAAATAGAATTGCAACCCCTTTTTTTTTCTGATTTCCATTTGCCTGTATTATAGATGACCATCCCTTCACCCTGAGTCCCTTTTTTATCTTTTAAGGAAAGATGAGACTCTTGTATTCAATAGATATCTAATCTGATTTTTTGTATCTTGTCAGCCAATCTGTCCCTCTTTAGAGGATAATTTAAGCCATTCACATTAATTGAGAGAATTGATAAGCATGTAGTGTTTTGGTTGTCATGTTTTTCAAATGTCCAATAGAAATTTTTAATCATTTCATCATGGTGGATGTTAGGTTTTGTTCAAGGCTTTCTGGGTGAGTTTACTTTGGTGGCAGGCCATTGAGCTGTTCATTATGGAAAGTGGGTTTGAGTATTTACTGGAGAGCTAGTTTAGTTATGGAAAATTTTTTCAATGCATGTGTAAGTCAGTAAAGTATTTGATTTCTCCATCACTAATGAAACTCAGTTTAGCTGAGCACAGGGTCCTAAGTTGAAAGTTGGTTTTTTTTTAGGATATTGAAGGTCAATGATCATCCTCTTCTGGCTTTAAAAGTTTCAACTGAAAGATGTGTGATTATTCTAAGGTTTCTCCTTTTGTAGGTAATGCTTTTTTTATGTCTGGCTGCTTGCAGAATTGTCTTCTTCATCTTAACTTTGGCAAAGTTATTAATTATTTTTCTACATACATTTGGAACCTTATCAATATTATAATTTTGGTACCATCATGAAACTCATCAGAAAACTCATGAGAAGAATAGTCTCATGACTATCATAAAACTCCTCAGAAAACTCATGAGAAGGATAGTCTTACATTTACTCATATTTTTTGTTCAACATATTTTTTCTTCTTCTTTCTAATGTGCCAGTGTTCCTTCTTTTACTGTTTGGTTGTTTAATTTCTGTTTAAAGAACTTTAGCCATTCTTTTACAGTAGGTCTATTGGCAACAGATTTTCTTACGTTTCCTTTATCTGAGAATGTCCTGTTTTCCCCTTCTTTGATAAATATCGGATTCTGGGTGACAATCTTCTTTCAAAACATAAAAAATATTGTGTCACTTTCTTCTGACTTACATGGTCATTTGAATTGTTTGTCTTATATAGATAAAATGTTTTTCCTCCAACTAATTTGAAAAATTTTTCCGTGCCATTAGTTTTTAGAATTTTAACTTTGCTATGTCTTGATGTGAATTTCTTTGTCTTCATCCCGTTTTGAGTTTCCTTAATTTCTTTAATCTCTAGGTTTATGTATTTTTTGTTAAATTTGGAAAGTTTCGCTCATTATTTCTTCAAGGTTTTTTTCAGCCCTGCCTTATTTATCCTCTCCTTCTGGGACTCCAGACACAAATGCCAGATCTTTTTTTATAGTTGCACAGGTCCACGAGAGATTTTTTAGGTCACTGATTTGCTTCTCTATCTACTCTATTCTGTCTTTAAACCCATTCATCAAGTTTTTTAAAACTCTGTCATTATATTTTTCAGTTCTATCTTCTATTTGGTTCTTCTTTATGCCCTCTATTTCTTTGCTTGACTATTTCTATTTCATTGTGTGTTATCATCCAGTGGGGAGGAATGTCCCATTTCCCTTCTTGGTCTTCCCTGAAAACTTCCATGGAGGCATTTAGGATGACTCATTATAGTTTGCCAAGAACAGAACTTTAGGCTCCCCACCCAGCCCTTTTCCCCCCTGTAGTATTTGGCTGGAGTAGAATGGTTATTGCCTAAACTTTTTGTCTTGCTAGGCTGGCCCTTTTCTGGTCCTTTAGACAGTGGGCTTTTTGTGTCCTTCCCCATTGGTGTTTTCAGGTTACTAGCTTCTTCACCTTCAAGAATAGGATACATGAAGTGAAAAGAAAACCTAGAGAACTTAACACCATGTCACTCCTAACCAGGTTTCCTTTTCTTCTCCACCTTTCACTATCTTCTTATGGTTACTTTATATATAATGTCCAGAGATTTTAGTTGTACTCAGTAGGAAGAATAATGAAAAGTATGTCTATTCTATTTTTTCTGGAATCTTACACCTGAGTTTTAATAATCTTTTGTGATATATTCTATAATACCAAGAAGTTCTAGCTGGTATATGAGTAAAGTTTTGGAGCATGTGTTTAGTTTTCTTCTGTGACAACACAAATTTGTGGTGAGTTTCTCATAATACTTACACTTGAATACAGTAATAATTTGATACATATTTTTCTTATCAAATCATGCATTAAAACTAAAATGTTTTATATTTTTAATGCCTAAAATTATTTTTGTACTCACCCTTCCCAGTTTATTCATATGTGTGTTAAAATATGCAAACTAAAATTGAGCACATTTTTAAAAGGGGAAAGGAATACTTCAACCAACACTAAGTAGTGTGAATTCAATACTGCCTGAATTTTTATAGTCATTCTCTTGTTAATATTATATTTGCTTTGTGTGATACTTCATGATATGCCACTTATCTTTATCATTTCTCTTTTTCCCTGTATCATATATTTAGAGGAATGTCAACAAATTCTTCTATATCCAGGAGTATTTTCACGTTACACGAAGATTATATAATTTGTGGAGACTTACTTTATAACGAATAACACAAGGTTTTAGAATAGACAGTGCAAATGAAGGGTCCAGGAAACTGAAGCTTCACTAGCTTTGTGGTATTATAAAGCTTTCAACTGTAAAATAGAAAGACAAGAAAGTTATTTTCTGATCATTATATTTCTTTTGAATTTAATAACCTTTAAAATAAGCCACACCACATAGATCATAAAGGGCAGAATGCCCCCCCTCCATTCACCATATACTGTTGCACAAGGACATTTGCTTTACATTCCAATTTTTATGGAACCTTATCTCTTCTACTCCGTTCTTTTCTCCTCCAGTTCTGTCTTTCTATTATTTTCAGTGTTGTTAGCAGAGATTTGTTTCACCTTTGTGACCCTGATTGAACCAGAAAAAAGGGGCAGGGGGAAAAAAGGCTTATCTTCTCTACACTATTATATAGGTGGTTGGAAAATTTAAGAAACAATTCTCCAAGGCAGGAGGATTGCTTGAGAACAGTAGTTTGAGACAGCCCAAACAAGAGTGAGACTCCATCACTACTAAAAACAGAAAATTAGCTAATCGCAGTGGTGTATACCTGTAATCCCAGCTACCTGTGAGGCTAAGACAGAAGGATCATGTGATCCCAGGAATTTGAGGGTGCAGTGGGCTATGATGAAGCCACTGCACTTTAGCCTGATGTCAAAGTGAGACTCTATGTCTCCAAAAAAGAAAAGAAAAGTAAAAGAAAAGAAAGAAACAAAGAGTCATTCTCTAAATAGGCCCTAATCCAGTTAATGATTTTTTTGTAATTGGAGGAAAAATAAGTTGAATAAATTTATTATTATAAATCTAAATAATAATAAATTTATATAATTTATAGAAATTATATATTTATAATAAGTAATAATTGAGGACATATAATTTCTTTTAGATAACACTGCCTAATATTTCAGAATTATTAGAACCCTATGGCATAACAGAATAATATCATTAGTTGTTTACCCCTCCTATTTTGCTCTTCTTCAAAACACCCAGGACCCAAAACCATGCCTGCAACATTATCAGCCAAACACAACTCCTAATCCTTATCATTTAAAATGTGATAACTGTAATACATTTTGATTATAGGGATATAAACTAAATTACACTAGTTACCTCCAAATTGAATGACAGAAAACCTGTAGAAACTTTTTAACTTTCAGGTCATTTTTGTGCCACCATCTTTTCTGGGCTGATGAGTTATTTCAATCCTGTCTGCTTTACATAAAAGGACTTTGTGAAGATGCAGTTACTCTCAAAAACTATAATGAACATGAAGATGATCTACCTGCCATATACCTTGTAAAGGTTGGTAGAGATATACTGCTGCAAGCTAATATTGATATATGGAAATGAGGAAAACGAAATAGAGTTTTGAATAAAAGGAACATAGATTTATTAATCCATATATAAACCATTTCTATGGATTTGAGCAAGGCATTCAATATATGTTTGATTTAAAAGTTAGGTTGGGTCATGAATTTCGGGTCAAGAATAACAAAACAAAGGAAAAGTAGAATCTTAATATGCCCATAAGCCAAGGGCATTCCTAAAGGGGATTAGTGGGTTCGGTTTGCAAGAATAGGAATTTCTGAAACTGTACACGGAAAAGCCAGACTCAGATAGACAGAAAACAGAGATTTTTAGCCAGGAGAACCAAGCTTGGGTCAGAAATTGGAAGGTGGCCAGTTGTACATTTAGTATTGGAAAACTGCATAGCCTGGGGATGCAGACACCAATGAAAATCTACAATAAACAGGTAATGTGAATGAAGCAATGTTATTAATATGAAGAATGGGAATGTTCAGAAGTTAATACCATGAATGGTATTCATGAATATACTCTCTTGGGATGAAAACACAACTTTAAAGGAAGTGAAATTTTTAGAACTAGAAGGTAAAGAATATATGTGGATCATTTTGTCCAAATCTTTACTTTCAATTGATAAAACTTAGTTCAAGAGAGAGCGTCACTTATCCAAGTCTTCAGAATCAGGTAGAGTTGACTCTTTGGATTATATTTTATATTTAAGAGTAGTTTGTTTTATTGGGTAGTATCTTGGGTGCCTAATAAAAATGTAGATATTAGTGTCTCAATCCTTTTGAGAAAGCAAATAGTAAGTGGTGCTGTTAATCTACATTTTTAATAAGTCCCTCAGGTAATTCTTATGTTGGATAAATTTTTAGAACTACTCTCAAATAACAACTATTGAAAATTTCTAGACATGCTATTTTAGGAAAACTATTATGATACCTGTGACAAGAATTGGAAGTGGGGAGGTGCTGGAATAACGTAGGTGTAAGCAATAAGGACTTCAGTTAGGATGTTGGTGGTTGAGACCAGAAAGGAAGACAGATTTCTGATATATATTTGGGTGGAAAAATTAGGACCTGGTAATCAGATATGGGACTAGTAGAGGGGGAACTCAAAGATTAAACTGAAAGTTTTAAGGCAGGAGCAGTACTTTTCAATCTTTTTGTTTTGTTTTGTGAAAAGACAAATTATTAATTTTTATAGTATAACTAGAGTTATTGTGAAAAGACAAATTATTAATTTTTATAGTATAACTAGAGTTAAAGATAAGAGCTTATTTATTAATGAAAATTTATTTTGGCAAGAGAACACAGTTTAGGAAAAATAATACTGAAAGGAGGAAGAATGATGGAGTGTATGTACATACACGAATTGATGGAACATTACATTTTGAGAATTTGTAGCATAGTTGATAGAGATTCCTCCCTCTTGGATTCTGAATAAATTCATAATAAAATTTATCTTACTGGATTATTCAATTTTAACCTCATTTTATGTTTATGATTTTAAGTTTTACAAGTAATTATGACTTCAAAAGTAAAAGTAATTCCTGGGATTGGTGGGCTCCCTGTATTCACAGAGATTTCAAAAATATCTCAACTCTTAAATTTTTCTGCTTTGGCTTAATCTTAGTTATTACTTAATAACATATTTTTATGTCTTTTAAGTAAGATTTAGTTAGATTTAACTATTAGTGTTTAAATTTAAACTTAAAGACCACATAAGGCAGATAGCATAGAAAGCATAAAGTACATAAAGAATAAATAATAAAGTATGGTCTTTATGACTTAAAAAGATTATCAAATATTTCATCTTTTGTTTTGGTATATGGATTTTGACTTTACAACACTCAACATTTATTGTCATCTTATTAGCTGGACAGTTCTCGAACCTATTCTCTAGATGAATTTTGTGAAGAGCAGTTACAACAAGCTACCCAGGCAACGCAAAAACTTGAAAGTGTTAAAAATAAAGTAGTTTCCAAGATGAAAAGTACATTTTTGAAGGTAATTCTTTAATTATATCTTATTTAAAAGAATTGCTAAGTACTGACTGAAGCAGGTAATTCCATCCTTGGATAAAGTACCAGAAATGGGCAGGTAGAGGAATAAAGGTGGTTAATAATAGTACTATGTATTTAACATATACAAAAAATTTTCCAGGTGGGTGTAAAATGCCAAAAGAAAATATGCATGTGGGTACATATGTATTAATGAAAATATATATTTATATATGCAACATAAAGATGCTTATGGTTTAACTTGCTCTGGCCTATAAAGGCTAATGTGATTAGTTACAAAATTCACAGATAAAGAAATACCCATTGCTCAGGAGAAACATAAGGATTAAACAAAATTTTGCTAAGGACTTTATAAAGAAAACTCGATAGTATCATGAGCAAAGTCCTCAAAACATTCTTCTATGGTACATGTATTACTCTTTTCACAGAGCTATTTTATATAGCTTTCCATATAGTAATAATACATGAATGTATAATTCAACAAATGCAGTATGTTGAGGAACTAGATGATACCACATCTAGTTAGATGGTATCATCTAGTTATGGACTTGCTGCCTCTGCTATTTAAGCTGAATATAGGTGAATACTTGAAGCTTTCTGGAGGAATGGATGGAGTAGGTCTCCCTCAAACTATTTTTATATATTATTTCTCTGAATTGAACTTGTGATGGATAGAGAATTGCTAATGGCCTTAAGGTTTCACTTCTTGACAAGAAGATGAAGTGCAGCTATTTAATGACAATTAAAACTGCAAAGTTTGAACACCTCCCATTATCTTATTCCTCATAATTCTGTAACCTTCTCAAGACCAGCCATGCAGACAAACTCTGTCACAATTTGGCCAAAGATAGTATAAACCAAAAGTGATTGACAAGATTATTTCTTAGGCCACTGAGATAAAAGGAAAATATCACTCAGAGTCATTCTACTTTCTCCTATTCAGCTGATGTTGAATCAGATCCCAGAATCTGGTCATAAATACTTATTAAGAGATTTCTCTTTAAATTAATTTCAGACAAGAATCTGTTAGACCCACTTCCAAACCTGATGTTTGGTAATTATCAAAATTATTCACCCCATGGAAGTACATGGGGTGATCCCAAGTACAGCCAGATCCCAAGTAGCTACATTCTTCAGGGAATCTTCCCATTTTCTGCACAAGGTTACAAAGCCCTGATGTTATCTCTACTATAATTATTTGGAATTTTGTTATGGTATTTTACATATTTAAAGAGTAAGGACAGTGGTTTTCAAACTTTCATGACCAAAGAATTACCTAGATTTCTGTTTCAGTAAGCATACCCTGAATATTTGCATTTCTTTTATCTATTATTTATTCTTTTTAAAAATTTCAGAAAATGGGAGTACAGATGATTAGGTTATAATGTTGGGGTTTGTTAGGTAAGGTTTCTGTTGTAGCTATGACCTGAAAGTTAAAAAGTTTCTACAGGTTTTCTGTCATTCAATTTGGAGGTAACTAGTGTAATTTAGTTTATATCCCTATAATCAAAATGTATTACAGTTATACAGGTTAGAACCTAGGAGGTATGCCATATACCCTTACATTATGCCCATTAGGTGAGACCACAGCAATCCCCTTCCCTCCTCCCTCTCCCTGTCTCCCATTCACCCTTTCTACCCCTTCCCCCCAACTTGAATTAAATTGAGTTTTTCTCTTGTGTGGGTATTAGTTCATCTACTGGCTTCATGTTGGTATTAAATACATTGCATGCTTGCTTTTCCATTCTTGAGATACTTTACTAAAGAGAATGTGGTCCAACTCTATTCAGGTTATATAAAAGATGTAAACTTTCCATCTTTTCATGGTGGGAATAGTATTTCATGGTATACATATACCATAGTTTATTAATCCATTCATTTGTTGATGGGCACATGGGTCAATTCTTGGTGATTGATTTTAAATTAAACTGCGATTAAACAATCTAGTGCAAGTATCCTTATGGTAAAATGATTTTTTTCTTCTAGGTAAATATCTAGTAATGGAATTGCATGATTAAATGGAAGGTCTATTTTGAGTTCTTTGAGGATTCTCCATACTTTTTTCCAAAGAGGTAGTACTAGTTTGTAATTCCAACAGCAATGTAAAAATGTTCCCTTCTCTCCACATCCATGTCAGCATCTGCAGCTTTGGTACTTTTGGTACTTTTGTGATGTGGGCAATTCTCAGGGTGGTTTTATTCACATTTCTTTGATGACCAGGGGCAATGAGTATTTTTTCATATGTTTACTGGCCATTTGTACTCTTCAGAGAAGGTTCTGTTCATGTCTCCAGCCCAGTGATAGATGGGATTGCTTACTCTTTTTTTGTTGGCTAATTTGAGTTCTTTGTATATTCTAGTTATAGACCCTATAAATGGTGAAAGGTGTGAGTCCAGATTCAGTCTTTTACATGTGGTTATCCAGTTCTCCCAGCACTACTGAATAGGGATTCTTTTCACCAATGTATGTTTTTATCTGGTTTATTGAAGGTCAGATGGCAATAGGAGGCTGGTTTCATCTCTGAATTTTCTATTCTGTTCCATAGGTTTATGTTTCTATTTCTGTAACAATACTATGCTATTTTGACTATTGTGGACTGGAAATATAACCTGAAATATGATAGAGTGATGCCTGTGAGTTTGTTATTGTACTAAGAATTGCCTTGGCTATATGGATTTTTTTCTGGATCCATATAAAACAAAGAACTATTTTTTTTTTAGTTCTTCAGAGTATGCACTTTACATTGTAAAGGAGATTACATTAAATCTGTAGATTGTTTTGGGTGGCATAGACATTTTAACAAAGTTGATTCTTCCCAGATAAGAGCATGATATATTCTTCTATTTGTTAATGTCTTCTGCTATTTCTTTTCTTAGTGTTCCATCATTCCTTTGTAGAGAACCTTCACCTCCTTTGTTAGATATATTTCCAGGTATTTCATTTTCTTTGAAGCTACTATGAATAATATTGTGTCCTTGATTTGCTTTTCAACTTGAATGTTATTGACATATACAAAGGTTACTGATTTGTGGAACTTGATCTTATACCTTGAGCTGTTAATCCATTTCTTGATTACTTCCAAGAGCCTGATGGTTGAGTCCCTGGTTTTTTTTAAGTATCAGATCATATCATCAGCAAAAAGTGAGAGTTTGACCTCCTCTGCCCTGATTTGGATGCCCTTAATATTTTTCTTTTGCGTGAATGAATTGGCTAGAACTTCCAAAACTTTGTTGAATAGTATTGGCGATAGTGGGCTTTCTTGTCTAGTTCTAATTCTAAGTGGAAATACTTTCAGTTTTACTCTGATTTTAGTATGACATTGGCTGTGGGTTTACCATAGTTTGCTTCTGTGAGTTTAAGAAATGTGACATCTATGCCTATTTTCTAAAGTGTTCTGGTTAGAAAAGGATGCTGGAAAAAAAAAAGATGCTGAATTTTATCAAATGCATTTTCCTCATATATTTTGAGTGGTTTTTGTTTTCTATTTTATTTATATGCTGAACTATAGTTATGGACTTGCATATGTTAAACACAACTCGTATTCCTGAGATAAAGCTTACTTGATCATGATGTATATATATTTTAAAGTGTACCTGTATTCTATTTGTTAGAAGTTTATTAACTATTTTTGGATCCATATTCATTAGTGAAATTAATCTATAGTTCTCCATTTTTGTTGGATCTTTTACTGATTTTGTTATCAAGGTGATATTTGCTTCATCAAATGTGTTTGGGAGGATTCCCAAACAGGTTTTGGTATAGGTTCTACAGTATAGGTAGAAGCTCTTCTTTGAAGGTTTGATAGAATTCTGGTAAAGCCATCTGGTTCAGGGGTTTTTGTTGTTGTTGTTGTCATTGTTGGGAACTTTTTTATTATTGCTGCAGTTTGGGTGCTTGATATTGGAGTTTGTGTGATTCCAGGCATTGGTCTATTTCTTCTACATTGTCAAATTTCAGGGCCTAGACTTTTTTTTTGTAGTAATCAGAGATAAGCTCTTGTATCTCTGTGGTATCTGCTGTTATGTCCCCTTATTCATAACTGATTGAGATTATCAGAGATCTTAGTTTTCTTTTTCAAGTTACTCTGGCCAAAGGTTTATTGATTTTGTTTATCTTTTAGAAGAACTAAATTTTTGTTTCTTTAATATTCTGAATCATTCTTTTGTTTTTAATTTCATTTATTTCTGATTTAATTTTGGTTATTTTCTTCTGCTAGGTTTGGGATTAGATTATTCCTCCTTTTCCATTTCCTTGAGATGATTCATTAAGGTTTTTGATGTGTGCTCTTCCTAAATGTTGGATATAGACATCTAATGCAATAAATTTCCCTCTTGGGATTGCTTTTGTAGCATCCCACATGTTTTGGCAGCATGTAACTTAATTGTTGTTGTGTTCGAGGAATATGATTTCCTATCTCTTTGATCCAGGTGTCATTCAGCACAATGTTGTTTAGTTTTCATAACTCTGTGTGGGGATGAAGCTTTTTTTGTAGTTGAGCTCTATCTTTATTCCCCTGTGGCTTGAAAAGATAAGAAGGCATAATTTCAATTCTTTTAATTTTGTTGAGGTTTGATTTATGAACTAAGATAGGATCTATTTTCAAGTACATTCCATGGGCTGATGAGAAGAATGGATATTCTTTAGCTTTGGGATGGTGTATTCTGTATATGTCCATTACACCCACTTGTTCTAGGGTTGCATTTAAGTTCCTTGTTTGTTCAGTTTCTGTTTAGAAGATCTGGCCAGTTCTGTCAGAGGGCTGTTGAAGTCTTCTGCTATTATTGCATTGTAGGGTATCATATTGTTCAGACCAGTTAGGGTTCATTACTTAAATCTGGGAGGATTTAAATTAGGGCATGTATATTTAGAATTGAAATGCCCTCTTGTTTTATTGTTCCCTTGACCAGTACATAGTGACCATCTTTGTCTTTCTTTACTCCAGTTGCTTTAAATCCACTTGTGAAAATAAAATTATGACCTTTCCTT